TCAGTGAAACGTTGTTTGAGCAGCGGAGCGCCAAAAAGTGGCGTATTTTTTCTCAGTTTTTGACAATAGAAAAATTGCTTCCGTTTGCACAAACAAAGTGTGATTGGCTCAAAACTTGAATCCATGGTTCAACTCTTGGATTTAGGTCATCTGAAAGTTTAAATTTTGAAATTGGCTCTATAGCGCCACCTACAACAGCCAATTTAAAAATGCCTATGGGATGGGTTCGAGGTCAAAATTGTCGTAGAACCATGTAATTTGGTACACATATTCCTCAAGTCAAGACATGGAAATTTTTTTATTGTGGCTAATCCTTCTGACAAACAGGAAGCCCATAAATTTCATTGCAAAATGGAAAAATGAAAACTAATCATTTTCATACATGTCGGTTGGAAAGCGACTCCTCCTCGGCCGTTTCACCGATTTGCCTCAAAATCGCTCCACATCATCTCAACACATGTACCATCAAAATGACCTCAGGGATTTTTGATCAGTGAAACATTGTTCGAGCAGCGGAGCGGCAAAATGTGACCTTTTTTTGGCTGTTTTTGACAAGATTAAATTTGCTCCTGTTTGCACAAACAAAGTCTGATTTGCACAAAACTTTAATACATTGTTCAACTCTAGGGTCTAGGTCATTTGAAAGTGAAATAATTGAACTCAGCTCATTAGCGCCCCCTAGAGATGGGGTCAAAGTTTTTAGTATTGGAGCGTTTCAAGGTCAAGTTTGTTGTACAGGCATGATATTTGGTACACATGTTCCTCATCTCAAGACATGAGATAAAAGTTATTATGGCCCCGCCCCCTGACAAACAGGAAGACCATAAATTTCACTTCAAAATGGACAAATGAAACATGGTCCTTTTCACAAGTGTCGGTTGGAAAGCGACTCCTCCTCGGCCGTTTCACCGATTTGTCTCAAAATCGCTCCACATCGTCTAAACACATGTACCATCAGTTTGATTTCACAGACTTTTGATCAGTAAAATGTTGTTTGAGCAGCGGAGCGCCAAAAAGTGGCGTATTTTTTTTCCATTTTTGACAATAGAAAAATTGCTTCCGTTTGGGCAAACAAAGTCTGGTTTGCACAAAACTTGAATTCATGGTTCAACTCTTGGGTCTAGGTCATTGAAAGTTAGAATTTTGAAATTGGCTCTATAGCGCCACCTACAACAGCCAATTTAAAAATGCCTATGGGAGGGGTTCGAGGTCAAAATTTTCGTAGAACCATGTAATTTGGTACACATGTTCCTCAAGTCAAGACACGGAAAAAATGTAATTATGGCTGATCCCTCCGACAAACAGGAAGCCCATAAATTTCACTGCAAAATGGAAAAATGAAAACCAATCATTTTCATACACGTCGGTTGGAAAGCGACTCCTCCTCGGCCGTTTCACTGATTGGCCTCAAAATTGTTCCAAATCATCTCAACACATTTACCTTCAAAATGACTTCAGGGATTTTTGATCAGTGAAATGTTGTTTGAGCAGCGGAGCGGCAAAATGTGAGGGTTTTTTTGGCCGTTTTTGACAACATACATTTTTTCCCCGTTTGCACAAACAAAGTCTGATTTGCATTAAACTTGAATCCATTGTTCAACTCCAGGGTTTAGGTCAGGTGAGAGTGAAATATTTGAAATTGGCCCATTAGCGCCCCCTAAAGACTGAGTCAAAGTTTACATGGGGAGCCAAACCAGCTCTACTTATCATATTCATTACAATTTGACTAACAATCTTCTATGGCTACGGAAACAAATCAACACACAACGGCGCCACCTCCTTTGAGCGGTGCTGCGTGGTACGGTGTGGTGCGGCGTAGTGCGGGGCGTTGTGGAGCGGTGCATTGCAGCTTGGTGCGGGGCGGCGTGAGGCGGGACAGCGTGGTGCAGGGCGGCGTGGTGCGGGGTGGCTTGGTGCGGGGCGGCGTGGAACAGGGTGGTGCGCGCAGTGCGGGGAGTCGCGCGGTGCGGCGAGGGCCGTTCGACGCCGCTTGCGGCTTTAATTTATTGTGTTCTAGCGTTAAATATTTGTTAAAAATAAAAGTTTATTTCTCTTTGAAAAGGTGTACCTGCTAGGGATGTAAAAAACTATGAATTTTCATGACCGACCACCGAGCCTCATTAACCGGTTGAAACCGGTTAACCGCGTAGTTTAAAATAGTCCACGTTCTTTGAAATAACAGCCATTTCGAGCCGCGTACTTTTCATAAGTGCAGCTCTGCGTTCTACTGGATCAGAGCCGAGACAGCGGCGCCCAAACCCGCAACAGCTTTGGCACCTTTGCGCACAGAGAACTGCTTTTTTAATCTTCCCATTCTGCTGAGCTGCGGGTTAATACCAAAACTTTCTAGCAGCAAACACGGCTCGTTCACATGGTCAGAGCAGCGAGTGACGAGCCGCGTCTCACAGGTCTTCACTAAAGTTTAAATACAAGTGATGTGTGTGGAGCTGATCCCGAGGACCATAAACACAAACATGTTCCATGTGGTTTGACTGGAGCCGCGTATTTGCGCGAATCCTTTGGGCTCCGTGACACAGAGGAGCGCGACAGACCGGTATGTGTGTGTGTATGTGTGTGTGTGTGTATGTATGTGTGTGTGTGTGTGTGTGTGTGTGTAAATGTAAGCTCCAATGTAGTTCTGACCCGCGCCAGTGTGCAACTTTGACGGTAACAGAGGGGAGAGATGATGCGTGTGGATGTTACGTATGGAGAGGGGGAAAGTGTGTGTGTGTGTGTGCGTGTGTGCATATGTGGCTCGTGCAGCGTGAGAGTTGTCCCGGAGTTTATAATACATGGGCGCACACAGCTAGATACAGACCCGCTCGTCACACCGTGCAAATAGGGCTTAAAATAGCGTTATTAAGAGACCTCCCCTCTCCCCTTTTTCTCTTTTTTAACCGACAGCTTTGACCGGTTAACGCTGTGACGGTCAACCACCGGTTAACCGGTCGCCGATTTACATCCCTAGTACTTGCATTATCATTGTAATCGATGCAAATGATCTCAGAACGACAATATAATCGCTTATCGCAATAATTTCTGAGACAATTAATCGTCCAGCAAAATTTGTTATCGTGACAGGCCTATGTGTACGTCACTTCCGGTCTCTGCAATTTTTCCCAGAATGTCTTTTTGCATGATTATTATTGATAGTTTCACCCTTAGCAGTTTCCATCTGTCAAAAAGAGTTTTATTTAACACAAAAAAGTACCACAATATACAAAAAAAATTATATTAGGTCCCTTTTAATTCAATTTAAAGTAGTTCATAGAGCACACATTTCAAAGGTAAGGCTGTCTTATGTATCCAGATGTGAGCCCTCTATGCACAAGGTGTAACCTGACTGAGGCCTCTTTGGGCCACAGGTTTTGGTCTTGCTCACAACTGCACAACTTTTGGAGAAAAATGTTCAACACTCTGTCGCAAGTATTCTGTGTCGGACTAGAACCAAATCACTATTTGAGGATCATTAAAAAAAATGCTTTCACTCTACTTTTGGCACGCCGAGCCATACTACTGAAATGGAAAGATGCAACTCCCCCTTCCCATTCACAATGGCTACAAGATGTCATGTCCTGTCTAAAACTTGGAAAAACTAAGATTCTCATTCAAACAAGCCTCTAATGCCTTTGACGATATATGGGGAAATTTTCTATGGCATTATCCGGCCCTCTAACAGTATGCTGCAGTGTAAATTGTTAAACCTGGTGTAAATAGTTTGTTGCGATGACAAGGTGGGAGGGATTTTTGGGTGTTCTTTTTCTTTAAATTTTGTTTGTATAGATACTGGGCTTGTTCACACTAAAGGGCACAAAAGTGTGACAAAAGGCCAAAAATGTGATTTTAATAATCAGATGATATTTTTTGTTTTTCATGTTTCCAAACACCTCCTCTGTTCATTAGAAGTTGCTAGAACATAGCTGTTTTGTACATTAGACAAGTTCCCTATAGCGGCCCTGTTTATTTTATGTAACGGACGTGATGATTTGACGGAATGAGCTTTGTGGAAGTTTGATAGGTATTTTCAGATGTCCACATTTGATTCAGAGATTCTACTTTTTTACACAAAGTAGATGCAAAGTGATACTTCCATATTGTCAACCAATTAAATGTGAAAACAGACCAGATATTTTTTTTCTCAAGTTTAATTTTTAGAGAAAAGAGGACCGTCCTCATCACGTCCGTTATACATTTTTCAGGGGTAATTTAATGTATTTTTTATTTTTTCACAATTCCTTTTTATATCAAGTGATTTCCTTCTGTTGTGTTAACCATGTAAATCTTGTGGGATTTCATCTTCTGCCTTTTCAGACTGAGGACATTTTATTTTCTATGTAACTGGAGTCACAGTAGAATTGTCTAATCAGAGGCTAATTTGGTCGTTTAAAATGTTGCTAAACATTTTTATGTCAATCTTTCCTCTAGATTTTTCCCACACTATCTCTTCAATGTGTCTGTGTTTGAAATCTTTCTTCCAATCTATGAAAGTAATTTTAGTTTTTAAGTTATAACCTTTTAAAGTCCAGATACTTCAATTGTCACTTTACTGTGAACACACTCTGTAATCGGAGCGAGTGAGGAACCAGCGTCTCTTCAGGATCTAACCCTAGGAGGCGCCTTTACCTTGCTGTATAACGCAGACTCCCTGGTAGGGCCTGGCTTTCTGTAGCGCTAGTCCCGACCTGCCTCGTGCTGGGTCTAAGGCTAGCTAAGTTTTGTCCCTGCCTAACGTTTTTCCCCTTGGTGTGGCTAATCCGTAGAGAAGCAGAAGCTCTAGGTGCGATATACCAAAATCAGTCTACTTTTACTACTCACCTCAGCCTAGGGCCGCCCTGCCCTGTCCAAGCGTTCTTCAAGGAAGGTTTTCAGAAAGTGTGAAGCGGAGTCGGAAAAGCTGTCTTTCGTGAGTCGGGGCGACTCTTTTATTTAAAGCCAAGCAAGCAAATCGTCAATCCAAGTTTACAGAGTTACAAAGGTCTCGCGCCACAAGTCTCTCTCACAAGGACCCCTGAATGAAAGCCTCCGGCTGCTCTCGTCTGCGCTGCGCGCTGCCCGACTGACTGACTCTCTCCAAGTCTTCCTTTTTATAGCGCATGCAGCCTTCAAGCAGCGGAAAGCCCCCTTAGCATTAAGGATGACCTCATTCAGGAAGTACATGTACATATATGGGCAAGGAAGGAAATGCATATATGGTCATGGCAGGAAGGATGTACATATTTGGTCCTCCTGCTCGTATGAACTGTCCCCCAGTTATTTGAACTTTCCCCTAGATAGCACAGAGGCTGCGCAGAGAAATGAACTTTTACCCAGTTATTTGAACTTTCCTCCAGTTTAGCACCGAGGCTGCGCAGAGGAATGAACTTTTACCCAGTTATTTGAACTTTGGCCCAGTTCTTAAGCATATATGATCTTTCCTTGCCGTGAACTTTAACACACTTAAATGAACTTTAATCTAGTTAGCATAATCACAGCCGACCCCTCTCACCCTGCACATGGACTATTCCAACCACTCCCCTCAGGCAGGAGGCTGCGGTCCATCAGGACTAGAACCTCCCGCCACAAGAACAGTTTCTTCCCCTCTGCTGTTGGACTCTTGAACACTTCTTAACCTGTCCCCCCGCCCTTTATAAAGTCACTTTACTTCACTGTACTGCTGTCACCTTACATTGTGTGCACCATGTGCACTTGTATATTGTAAATAGTAACTGTAACTCTATTTTAAATTTAAATTTATTCTTTAGAAGTGTTTTTTATTCTTATTTTTATTATCTCTTTTTGACTGTTGCACTGAGCCAAAGCAATTTCCTAGTCTGTGACCTCCTGTTACTTACGTGGCAATAAAAATGATTCTGATTCTGATTCTGATAATGTTACACAAATCACATTAAATCACATTACATTTTATTAAATCACATTACTGACCATCAAGATCACTATTTAACGCATTTTCCTTACGTTTCACACATGATTATAAAATGTTATTTTGTATTACATCACAAAATCATATTTTGTATTACATCCTCCTTTTGAAACTTAAGGAAAATCACATAACGTCCACTATTCAGAGTCCTCAGGGAGCCGCTTCGATCCGTAAGCTACAGGCTCCGGCAGAGTCAAATCCGGGCACTCTTCCTCCACAGGCCGGTTAAACTCCCTCATGAAGTCCTCATAGCCATAGGAGGGTATGAGGTCAGTGGACTGCACAGGTATTGGTTCCCCGGATTCAGGTGGGGCCACAGCATCGGCTACCATTGGGACCTCAGACTCAAGCATCGTAACGTTCATAGCCTCAGGTTCAGGCAATGCCATAACCACATCAGGGGACACCTCATCTTCTATTGGAGCACACCAGGGCGATGGGCTCAGAGGCTCAGGGACCGGAGGTGTTGGCGATGGAACCGGGCCTCGGAAGTTAAAGTGAGGTTCTTCATCCAGCTTAGGCATTGGCTGGACAACTGAAACCTGCCTCTCAAAGTTCATTGAAATGTCCATGGAATCATGCCTCACCCTCTTAGCAGGGGCGGGGTAAGGAGAGCCCCTGGCCTTTTTATCAGCAAAGGGATAAGAAGAATCCCTTGGGCTCCTCTCGGGGTAGACGCGCCATGGTCCATGCCGTCCCTCAGCAGCAAGCATCCGGAGAAGTTCTTTACCCAAGTTTCCATGGATACCGTCACAGTCCCTCGGCTTCTTAACTGGGGACTTTCGTTGAAGTTTCGGCTTAACATCGCTAATCAGATGGCGGGACCCCCTTGGCTCCTTAGTAGAGATGAGCCTGTGGAAGTCTCCTGACCTCCCAGCAGGGACAGTATGAGAGGAGCCCCTATTCTTCTTGAGAGTTGCCTCCCATTTACGAGCGGCTCTCCTCGGGTCTGTGGCTCGCTCGATAGACCTGGCTCTCCTCAGTTCGATTGCATGCTCCACAGGTTCAGTCTTGACTACTGGGGGGCCTGCCCTAGCATGGGCGTCCCCTAGGGCCGACAGCTCCTCGGCTCTCCTGGCAGTAGTGATGATCAGGTGCCCGTTGTAGGCGTTGGTTCCGCCCGCAGTGATGTGGTCTCTCCACGCCGGTCTACCTTTGCCCTGGTAATCAAGTGGGCCCTCAGACCAAGGTAGGGCTGGGCGATTAATCGATTTTAATCATTAATTCGAGTTTTACGTTTAGGGCGATTTCTTTTTTTAAAAATTCGATTTTTATTTTCTCCAGCGCAGAACTACAGCGCTAACGCGCAACCCGCGGGTCTATGGTGTTGAGCAGTCATTTTGAAGCTAACCTAATGCTAACAGTCTCCCTCTGGCCTGATGCTCGCTCTCACAGTTGGTGCTGTTGCAATAACACTTCAAACGTTCAAGAATCAGACTTTATTTAATCGCCAAAACACACACACACGCACGCAGGCTCCGGTCGCTATGTTCGTACGCCATGTTCGTACGCCACATCTTTCACGCTCTCTCACGCTCGTTATTCCAAAGCGCACTCCCGTGTCCGTGGCGCTCACACACTCGTGTCCCACTGAGCCGCTGCACTTTGGGGAAAGACACGTCTCACACATTGCTCTCATTGCTCTGATACAAACAACGTGTTCCCCGCTGTCTGTTAGCTACAGTAGCTGCTACAGTAGCTGTTAGCTACAGCATCAGAATGTAAACAGGAAGCTCGCACAATGCGGGAGTCACTGAAGTTAGTATTAGCGCCACCAGCTGGACCGAGCGTTGTACTACAGCACAGTTACTCAGGCACAGTTGAAAGAACAAGCATGAAAACCCGAGGAGGCTTTTGGAAGACTGTCTGTTACAACATTTCTATTTTGAGTAATCAGTTTTAAAAATGTGATATTTCATGTAAATAATGCATGTGTTTAATAGGATTGATATATTTGCGATGGGCCTTGTTTGTGTGATTTAAGTTATTTTGAAGGTGCATAGTGTCATTGTAAGTGAAGTTATTATAAAACTGTCAAGCTACATTTTCACTGTTTACAATGGCAGAGCCATCTCGTTTACAAGCATGTTTTAAGGCTTAATTCTTGTTACACGTATGCTCCATGGGGATTTAGATTAAACTGCATAAAGGAAAATCTATTTCTTTGTCAGTTGTAGTTTGTTTTTAAATAGAAAAAAATAAATCGATTAAAATCGAAAATCGGATTTGGTGTGAAAAAATCGGAGATTTTTTTTTTTTGCCATATCGCCCAGCCCTAGACCAAGGCAGTCCCACCTTGCTTGACTGACAGAGGGCAAGCACACCAACTGCCCGTGCACCATCACAGGCCTCAGCTTCACGGTGCAGTCCGATCCTCTGGTCATGCTGCACCGCCGGATTGGTCCCTGCAGAGCACGACCGATGTTACCGCCTTCGTGCTCCAGGTCAGCAAAGGAGCAGCTTGGAAACTCATGCGCCGTGAAGATGCGTTGTCCCCTCAGCGTGAATGGCTCCTTCGTCTTCCAGTCCATCAGTCTCAGCTCCACCATGGCTACGCCCATCAGATCCTTGCGTATAAGGCTTTGGCCCTCCTTAATCACTGTCAAGCCAATGTGACCAGGATGCCAATGTAGGTCACGCTCCACTAATGAGTATGGCAGGCCCTTACTATCTAGGCTCATAACTACACATTTGAGCCCTTTCTTAGTTTCTACTAGGATACCCTTGGTTTGCACAAAGGTACCTTTAAATCCCTCCTTTTGAAGCCCATTGCAAAGAACAGGTTCATCCTGCATCAATGCAATAGCCTTCCTGGAGCTATGTGGCTTGATATTAACCCACTTTTGGTACTTCTTTTCAATTTGCGCTCTCATTATAGGGGAGAAAGCTCCGGTCGGGTGGCTCTCCAATCGAACCCCTCTCCCCAAATGAGATGGTTTGATATCTATATCCAGCCAATACATTTGTTCTGTTGGCTGTCTGCTAACTCTTGTTCCCTTGGGGATGTTATCAAAGGTGAGAGTGGAGATTCGTTTCCCCATCTGTAAGGTCAATTTGGATATAATTAGTCATGTTTCCAAACCCTACCCTAACTCTCATCTCCCCGGGGATTCTATTTCTATTATTTTTCCTTTTATTTATTTATTTATTAATCTTCAATTTTTATGTGCTTGAAGACTCGCGCCTAGTAGCACTAGGCGTAGTCAACCTAAAGCTGCCGGAAAGCTGTCTATTAAGTGGAAACAGGACCCTTCTATAGGCCACTCCCACTATATACCCGAAATATCCATACATAATAGGGTGAGTCGACATTCCACAGCTGACCATCACTGCCGTTAACGCCAGTGTGATCAACCATTGAGCGCCTAAATTTAGACAAGCCCTTCTGTTTTTTCCTTTTAATTGCAGGAAAAACCAGAAAAGCGCTATCAGACCTAAAATTAAGTATATTCCCAGCCCTATAAGCTCTGCGGCCAGGGCACTGTGCAGGGCTTGATCTACAACTCGTTCTAGAAGTGCTGTGTAAACCGTACCGAGAGCATAAATTGAAAGTATCATCATCCACCACCGATTAGTGTTAATCGGTAGTGGCAGATGAGCCAGAAACGCCAATACAATCTGGGTGTGAATGGGACTAATGCATAAATACATCAATCTCACCACTCCCGTTCCTATGACTAACGCGGAGGTCATTGCCACCCTAATCCAGCCTACATTCTTCTCTCTAGGTAACAAAGTCAGAAGGAGGATTAGAATTCCCAGGGAGATTAGCTGCCATGATTCAGTCATAATTACCGAAGATGGGCAGCCAAGTCCCAGGGTGAAGTTGGTGAAGCCAGCCATGGTTCTCGGAGCCGTTCCTAGACGAAGAGATTGGTACAGCGTGACAGGTGGTCTCTTCCAGAGAAGAATGATCAACCCATCTCGCGGCCCTCCTCTTATACCCATGAACAGGCTCCTCCCACCATCGGTGGCATCACCCCCTCCTCCTCCTTGACCGCTAATTTCCTTATAAGGTCAACCGCTATTCCGGCGACCAGTATTGTCATAACTAATCCTAAGATAATGGTTTTATACAGCCCGGTTCTATCTATACTAAACTGCGATTCATTTAATGCTGTGGGCAGCTCTCCCAAGTAGTCCCCTGGGAGGCCGACCACCTGGACCGAATCTCTCCATGTCATTCCTTTGTTCGTGTAGCGTGTCCAAACGACCCGCCATTTGCTAGGTCCCACTCCCTGATCTTCCCGCTGGAGAACGCATTCCTCATTCGCGCCTGCCAGACAGCAATTTCTGGTAATTGAAACCAGGATCCAGTATGACATTCTTCCCAAGGACTCTTCTCTGCACACCGTTCCGTTAATTACAGTTTCTTTGCGTTCATAGCTTTCAGTTTCACAACCGATAATCCCATATATAACTACCATAAGTAATGTAACTGAAAGCACAATCAAATTCTTGTTGTCCCCGGTAGTTGGCTTCTTCACTCCTCTTTCCTTTGTCCCTTCAGCTGATCTCTTCATAGTCAAACCTGCATCAAAGGGTCTTTGTTACTCATGATATTCCTTCTTTGCTTCACTGTTTCTTTTCCTCTTTTTGTTTTCTTCTCTTTCTTCTTCTCCAGTATTTCTTCTCTTAACTCTTTAATTGTCTCTTTTAGGAGCCTGTCTTCTCTTTTCTGCCTCGCTTTCCTATAGGCCCGAAAGGGAACCCAGCAAAGCCTGAAGACCTTACAGGTTCTCTGTAGTATCCCTATTATTATTACTGTGACTATAACCACAACAATGCCTACGATCCAATGCCATGCATAGCTGAGCCAATCTATCAGCCACTCCCATGCTCCAAAGATGGCCCGACCAACTGTCTTAGCTGTTGTGACCACAGCTGTGGCCACCTCTGTAGCCACTCCATTTATCACGGTCCCTGTGGCAAAGGTCGTTAGGATGGCTATTCCTTTTACTTGATTTCCTAATGTCCAGAACGGTGAAGTAATCATGGTATAATCACACTCGTGATCACACTTTGCCTTCGGATTTATATTCTGTTCCATTTCCACCGGACGTTTGTAGATGATTACATGGTATTCTTTTGTCTATATGGAAGGGATCTTCTTGGTGCACCTGGAGCTGAGCGTGCCACCTCCAATGCCCAGTCATTATACCCCAGTCTTCATGTCCCCGCAGCACTCTGGGAGCCATTCTATCTCTGATACAAACGTGTTGAGCGATATACTTCATTCTGTGGTACATCAGAGTCCCAGGATCAACTCCCTGAAGGTGTCCCACTGGTGCTGAATGATACGGCCAGTGAGCCACTCGATAATGTATTAACGGGTTCACACAGTTCTGTTCTCTGTTGATCAGGAGTTGTATTGCTGATGCGATGGCACTTGTGTCATTCACGAACTGTTGCTTTGTTTCCGCTATTGTAGTCCAGCCTTCGGCGGTCCAATTCTTTCGGTTAAGGGAGTGTATTTGCTCCCAATCGCTCATGTTTTTGTCTGGTATAAGCAGAGCTATAGGTTCACCATTTTTGCTCAAACTTCTTTCGCTATCGAATGTCAGGATTCTTTCTCTGAATTCTCTTTCCATTTCTTTCTTTCCATCTTAATTGTCTCCATTGGTCATCTGGTTGTACAGGGATTTTTCGAACGGCTATGTATTTCCTAGCCACCGTGACATGCATGGATCTCTCTGTTGTCCAGAGCACTGCCATATGGTGGGGAAAGGGCGACTGCATAGCTGACCTCCATTTCCAACCTTGATCCTTGACTAATCGTTTGATGGTGTGCAGTCTATCTGGGTGTAGGTACAGCGTTTTGTCCCACAGCTCCCATCCTTCAGTGTATGTGTCCAGGTTTCGCTGATCCTTCTTGTGTTCCTCGTCAGGTGAAAGCATATGAGTTGTAACTACGGCTGCTTCTTTTGACAGCCATCCAGCGATTTGTATGGCTCTGGGATGTTTTTTAGTATCTGGATGTGGTCTCTCTACCCTCTGGAGGAATCTTTGATATGCCCAGGACATAGGGGTTTTCCTCATCTTAATTTGGGTCTCACAGGGAAACGCCCCGCATGGGCTGCCGGTATATGATGGTACCATTTTCCTAATTTCTCCGAATTGTATTCTGGTGAGCCAAGGCCATGGAAACCAGCTCGTCTTCCATGAGCCTTCCCAGTTACTCATTTTTGCTGTTTCTCTAATCTGACCCGGCAGGAATTGTTTGTTGAATCCTTCACCCCAGTCCGTCATGTTCTCTTCGAGGATGGTGTCCGTGAAGGACCATGATGAAAGGTTAAGGTCCCAGAACATGGTTTGAATTTCTGCTGGGTCTGGTACATGCCACTTATTTTTAACTTCTTCTAATCCATGGTCATGCGATGTCCAGTCCGGAATGGCCATCAATGTGTGCACATATCTTGTTTGGTCCGGTAAGGAGTGGTCCGTTATCATAACGTGTGGAATTACTAAGGTGCTCAGGGTTTCTGAATCAAAGCTGTCCGCTGCAGCCGTTAGTCCCGATGTGAGTCCTGACAGCTGGAACCACATCCACGCATCCATAAATGTTGTTTCATCCTTCATTGTTTCTTCTCTTATTGACCTTTGATTTGGGTTTTCTAAATCAGCCTCCAGAAAGTCCGGCAGATAATTACTACATCGGTACATTGCATCATCCCATTCTGGAGTTCTGAAGGGATAAGTGAACCAGCATTTCTTGGTTTTGGGATCCCGTTCACATTTATCAGTTTCGTTGAGTACACTTCCTCCAGGAGATCGTGGCAGCTGGTTAATGAGCTGCTGGATATGTTGTACTTGTTTCAGTTCTTCGTAATCCAATTCATCTGCCATACAGTTCATTGCCTTCTTCCACCACCTTCCAGTCTCTTTGTTATTTATCCATTGTTGGTACATTTCTTTTGATGCCATTGGGAGGGCAATGCCGACGGTGGTTCGATAGCACACTCCGAAGGGATCATCCCGGGGAAATGTTCTCATTCCTGCATCATCATTATCTGCGTCCATAAACGCCATCTGTCCCGATTTTGTCCAGATTAGTCTTCGCTGTACTTTTGGGAATTTGGCCAGAAATTGCTCGAGGTCGGGTCCTTCACTTGGTTCCCTATTTATATTAATTCTTTTTGTTCTGAGCACGTATAATTGCCATTTCCAGTACACTCCTTGTAGTCCATCATCGGCACTATAGCACTCTGACTTTGGATCAGAGCAGTCTGATATCTTCTCCCAGTCTTCCTTTTTCAGTATCGGGACTCTGGGTACCTCCATGTGAAGACCTGAGATGGTCCTCGTTCTCCATTGTGGATGTAATGCTGGGTATGACGTCCATCTATCAACGTGGCAGTCCTGGCATGTTGTCGAGGACCACGGGGTACGGGTTCCATTCTTGTTTATCCCCCAGCATTTATATGTTTTAGCTATATTGTTCAGATACAGAGTGCAATTTTTGCCATTGGTTGAGAATGGTGAGGACGCCATTCCTGTGCCTCTTTCCGCATCAATTTCTATAGATATATGCTGGCACGGGGTAAGTATGCCTACGTCTAGTAATTTTTCTCTGATGAACTTCATCTGCCTGCTTAGATTGTTTAGATTGTTGAGAGTGCATCTTCCCACATGCTTTTCCGCTTCTGTGGTTTCCACCGATCTCTTCCAGGGGTTTCTCGTCACAGTGGTTTTCTCCTGGTTCTTCTCCCACCATGATTGTTCTAATTCCTCCTGGCTTGTTACTGCCAGTATTTCTTGTTTGGCAATATGATAGGGTAGTTCTTCTTTGGGGAATTCTCCTGTTGTTCTCCAGGTTTCTTGATTTGTCCAGTTCTCAAACGTCTTCCAATCTTTTTCGTTGATATATTTTCTTACTGGAATGTTCAGTACTGTTCTTTCGTCGACTTTGTGGCATGTTTTATGCAGGCTGTATAACGGTTCCTGCATCTCCCATCCTTCTCGAATTTCTTGGTGCAGTGCTGTATATATGCAGTCTTTTATACCCGTCTCGTACATCAATCCTGTGAGATCAAGACTCCATGCTTCTTCTCTTAGCAGCACTTTAGTCACTTGAAAAAACGATCCGTCCGTTCCAAACTTTTTCTCATAGGATTCCCACGTGGACAAGTGAGCCTCGGAGTATCCAAGGTGCACTGCTCGACAGGCCTGTCGATATGCTTCTTCGGACATCTCTTTTAGAACTTCCATCATAGATCTTTCACAGCAAGGTCCCTTGAAGGGGATCCATTTGATGGTGCAGTTATCGACCTCCGGCGCAGGAAACTCCAGGTTACATGTATCTTGTGTTCCCGGCGTCCTCTCTTCTCGTGCTCCTGGAAGGTCTTCTGTTGTTGTGTTCATTTTTTCTTTTTCTTTTTGATCTTGGGCTGCTTCTCCTAGCCGTACTTGTGGATTACAGGTCCTTCTAATTCCTATTCTTATCACTAGAAATCGTATTGCTCCTAGAATGTATTTTCCCTGGTCGAAGGCCAAAGCCTCCCCTGTTCCTACTGGTATGGGATATCCTGGTTCTATGTGTGGGGTTATTATTGTGCAATTTTTACATTTTATGATTTTTTGTCTCCAGGTTGCCCTTTCTGCCCCCGTATCGGGTATTTTACTTATCACATGGATAAGGGCAGAGAGTAATGCTATTATTATTATTGCTATTATAACTCTAATTATGGTACTAGGTTTCCTAAGCTGTTTCAGTTCTTTCTTGAATTTTTGTCTGTATTTTCTCCTCTTTATATCTTTCCTAATTATTTCCATTGCATCTCCTCCTAGGGTATCTTCAGCAATGTCTGCTTGTGCCAGTGCTAACCTAGCTTGGTTGTGGTACCATTTCTTGTACCACCATCTATTGATTTTTTCTACGGCAGACAATCCCATAGTTTTTCCTGGAAGGAAGGAGCAGAACATTAATTCATGTTACTTTCCCCCTCTGCTCCTTGCTTCCCCCTATCTCCTAAACCCGATACGCCTAGTTGGGATGACTCTTTTTCCACCATGCCGACTTGCTGACCCTTGGGCCTACTTTGAGGGCATCGCTATTCTCGGTATTAATCAGATTTCCTCTAATCCAGAGTTTGACCCCTACAGCTATCAGGTTCATTCCTAATTCTGCTCCACTCATCCATTTATCGATGTATTGAGCACGGTCCAATGATGCCAGAGACAGCATCTCCACTGCACAGTGCAGCAGCTCTGGACCCGTCGGGGTCTGTACATTACTAGACCTTCTCTTAATGGTTACGACCATAGGGGACAGTGGCTTCATCGTTCCTGTTGTGATCCAGTCGATCCAATTAGGCCTTACACTCGGTGGAGCCCAACTCATCACCCCATGTCTGTCCAGTTTCTTACTGTCACACGTGAGTTTAGCTGTCTTCTTAGCGTGCACTCCCATTGTGGTCAAAGACCATTTGAAAGTAAGAAACCTATTCCTCTTTCTAATTGGATGAGTTAGAGCAATCTGCAGGAAATTTAATTTATCAAACGAATTAAATCTATTCCAGTGTCTATGAGCCAGCAGGCCAGCCAGTTCCAGCCTGGGCGTCCCATTCGGGGAGCAGATCCGAAACCCACAGTACGGATCTGCCCGGCACCTGCAGGGGTCCTCGTGAGAGTCCTGTCTGGTCGCGAGAGTTTGAGCTCCAAACTTTTCCCAGCATTGGGAGCAGAATGAGACTCTGCAGGCTCCAGCCAACTCGACTCCTTCATCCTTATCAGGTTCTTGATGATCACTTCTCAAATTCCTAAACCTTCTCTCACCCTCCCAAAGGAGGGTGAACACTTCAACGTGAGAAAGGCAGCAGCCCCCCGGCCTGTAATCCCTCCAAGATGGTTCGGCACTAGGTGGCTGACCTGGGTAGATCACTCCTACCTTGTGCCGACCAGATGGATGGCATTTCAGGATTACCAGGCCCATGGTCAAGTAGGCCTGGTCCGGTACGGCCTGGTGAGAACTGTTTGGGTCCTTTTTTGGATTATCGAGAACTGTTTTACCAGCCTCAACAACCCCTGAGGAACTACCGCTCCCCTGCTTCTCTACACCAAGTTGGGATCCCCATCTTAGCATTCTAGTTTTGACTGACTTGGGGGCCTCTGTCTGGGGCCCTTCGTTTGAATCGAATTTGTTTCGGATGGACTTTTCTGCCATCTTTTGTTATTACAATGTTACCCGTTTGTGTTTCGATATCTAATATTTCTCTCGCGTCCCTGGTCCACACCTGGTTGCCTTCCTGCAACATAGGTGGGAGCTCATTAGTATTACGGTTTCTCGCACGCAATTTCGGCTGACTTAAGTACATGTTAATCTGGTACAATTTGTGCGGCTTGCACCGGCCTTTTCCGTATATACTAATTTCAGCGACACCGTTTGTGTTGGACTGATAAGGGATGCTGGGTACATGCCTGATACCTAATTCTTCCAGGAAAGTTTCAAATTCCCCTCCTGTGAACATAGTTGCATTGTCTGACCTGATTGAAGTTATTGTGGGATTACCTTGTAAGTAAGATAACACACATTTCTCAGCCTCCTGCTGACTTTCTCTTTTTATAGGGTATACTCTTGTATTTCCACCTCCATTGTCGGCTATTACCAGGAATTTTACTGTTTTTACTTTTATTCATCAAATGACCTACGTCCATGGACGCAGATATCCCCGGGTTGCCCTCTATATCTTCATCGGATTCAACTAGTTCGCGGCTACTACCTATTTTGTTAGCGCCCGATGGGCTTTCCTCTTTTTCATCAGAGCCATCACTATCCTGATCATCTGGGTCCCCGAATTCGGTCCAGGTGCTTCCTGAGCTCCCCGAATGCTCATTCAGCGGCACTATGCTAGGTATCTCCCCTCGAAGGCGGGGATACATGCTTGCGCGAATCGGCTCCC